ATATGTATCTATCTATTTTTCCCAAAAGTAACATAAGAAGAACAAATCAGGAAACATTAAAAGTGGCTACATATAAGGGAAGAATGAGGAGGAAGAGATATGAAGGGAAACAGATCTCTGAGTATACCTTTATGTACAGCTTTGGCATTTGGAAGCATGTTGATATTCAACATGTTTAAAAATAGAATTAAAACAATAAGAAAGGGGGAAAAAACCCACACTGGTTGTAAACTATATTTCAACTAAATGATGTAACCAAATTGAAGGGGTGAAGAACTAACACAAATAATTTGAATACAGTAATTTGACTCTATAGCCTAAACTTCTCTAGTTAAGTTTTTTTTTTCTAATTATTTGAATGTAGAAATTTTGAAGCTATTTGTTGTGATTCTAGGATTAGGCAAATGGGGAAGTGTGTTGATGATGGGGGCCAGAGTTCTCACTGTGGAGGAAGGGAGATACAAATATGACACAGGGATGGCAAGAAGAACTCTGTGAGGTTGGACTGGATTTGGTGGTATCAGAATGACCTCCTGGTTTCTACCATGTTTCTCTTCTAAAAGCTTTGATGTAATGAACAACAAAGTTAGGCAGATATTCTTTTCCAAATTAAATGAGACTAAAGAAACATGGCATATAAATGCATTACATGATCCTAGATGGATCATGGACCAAAGGGAAAAAAATATTATAAAGGATATTGGAGCAATTGGCATATGGACTATAAATCAAATAAAATTAGATAAAACTATTTTCATATCAATGTCATACTTTCTAAATTTGATAATTGTACTGTGATTATATAAGCAAATATCCTTGTTCTTAAGAAATACATGCTGAAGTATAAAGCAGCAAAATGTTCAGACATAATGATGCCACAAATTTTGCAAAACATTAAAAATTGGTAAAAGATATGTTCTTAAATTCTTTAAACATTTTTCTAGGTTTGCAATCATTTCAATATAACAAGCCAAAGAAAAAATCCCATATAAAAATATAACATTCTGAATTGATTCCCTAATGTCTTGTTTTCCAAGAAAAGTAAAATGTATCTGTGTGTCATTGTGTCACTGTTATTTTCCCTTGGTTCTCAAACTTTATACTTTCTATGATTTTTGTGAATACTTGCAAAGCACATCAAGTGTTCTTACTTTTCAAAACTTGAATCTTCTGATTCTTTTGGTTGCATTTTTTCTAAATATTTGTTGATTTAATTTTGCATATACATAAAACAAGTGTTTCTAAAGTATAGTCTTCTCTTAATTCATTCCAAACATGTTCCCATGAGACATGTTTTTCAAGAGACAGAGTAAGGTCTTATTTCATAGTAAGTAAATCACATAGCTTTGGCCTGAGACACTGATTTCAGCCATTTTAGTCAAACTTGAAAGCAAAATTGACCTATGTGTTACTTTAATAATTTCCACTTCTCATCATTTTGTTTTCTTATTTCCCAAATGGATTTACACATAGATAACTCATGTTTGAAACATTCCTATACATGTTAATGACCACTAATGATATATATCAAGAGAAATCACAGGCAAAAATATGGTAAAAATGTGTCATTAAAATCTGCCTAAAAGAAAATTTATAGACTATTTACCAGAATACTGTATTTAATGTCTTACATATGTCATCCATACAATATTGGGCATTTAGAAACTGACACTGTTGTCAAAGGGTTGAAAATGGATTGCACATGAAATGTCTAGGGGTTGAGTAAAGGGAGGATCAGTTTTCAATTATGATTCTAAGAAGGTCATAATTTTATTTTACCTAGCAAGAGGGCCTTAAAATTCTGGAATCAAAGTTATACAACTAAAATATAAAAAGAAAGAAAAGATCCTAAAGAGATCACAAGATGCAGAGCTATCACATGCTGATCTCTCTGGGAGAATACAAACTCCAAGCAGTTGTCTGAGACACAAAGGAAAGCAAGCCGAGGTTAACAGTTCTGTCTGTGAACACTGTGAAGGATCCAGAACCAAGAAAGGGCAGTATCAGTAAAGGCCAGACTGTACTGGGCAAGAACAGCAGAGGACATGCAAAAGATGACAGGGAGGGCAAAGTCTATCTCCAGACACACTGGAAATGGATTATTGTGGGGGCCCGGCCTACGGCCAAGGCTGAGCCCCACTCTAGCTGGACAATGCCCTAAAGATGGCACCTGCTTCCCTGTTGGGGATTGGCCCAGCAGACTTCCGTACCCGTGCACAGCTCGTGCTGCCCGCTTAGAGTGGTGCGTGACACCTATCCGCTTAAAGGTCACGCATGATACTGTCCCGGATTGGTTGGGTGACTGAATATAAGGGAGCCCCCCGGGAGGGAGAGAGCTTCCCGACAACTGCTGTAACCGCCGCGAGAGATTAGACAATAAAGCCTAGAGAAGAATCAAGACCTTGGGTGTGTTGCTTCGGTCCCTGAAGGGTCGCAACAATTATCACCAGTTCCATAATGAGGAGAAAGTAGAGACAAATACCAATGCTGAATGTTAGATAGTTTACATAGAAGTGCAATAAAGAAATACAAATAGTTATAGAATATGGGCTTAGTCATTCTCCTAAAGTTCCTTAAGTTTTAAGTACTTAAAGCACATGTAAATATTATATATAGGTGCTTTGGGCAGAGCATGTTTTAACAGATTCTGGTGTCCAAGGTAACCCAAGTCAAGTGATCCCTTTTCAGAATTCCATGTTCAAGGGGCTACTTTTTAAAAAAATTTCTATACATTACATGTTGTTCTCTGAGTATAGTTATTATAAGACTTGACTTACTTTAAAAAACATTTTTACTTTTTTTTGATACTTCTTAAAATGAACAATTGACAGTGAACTAGTGAAGTCTTTTCATTGTTAGATGCTTAATGAAAAAGGAATAAATGAAATAATACAAATGTCAAACACTGCGTGTGTATGTGTTGCCAGAAAGCTATGTGACTCGTTTTACACTGTATGATTTAAAACAGAGTAAGGGCATTATAGTAATTTGAATCTCTTGCATTACATGGGCATTTCTTTGTTAACCTTCTAGGTTTACTTTGTGCAGGACACTTTCCATAGATTATTTCATTGACTCCACATGGGAATACTGTGAGGTTGGAATTATTATCTTTGTTTTACAGATGAAGAAACCAAGGATCAGTAATGTGAAGTGAATTGCCTGAGGCTGATGGTACCAAGGGAGGGAGCCAAGATTCCATTCGGAAATGATCTGAACACAGACAGCCTATCAACCATTACAACTTTCCCAGCACCCTTAGAGTTGAATCAATTTTACAGCATTTTCCCTTTTAATCCTGACGTTTCCACAGTCTCCAAAAGGTCAATGTCTAAATCAGAAAGCAGGGAACCAAGCACTCCATGTAGACCCTGTGTGTGGTTGGGACAGCTTTGAACACTATTTTGAAGGCAATATTAAATGTTGATTCCACAAAAAGGGCTATTTATTGAATTCCTGCATGTAGTCACACCTTGGATATTCTTTGGTGGTCTTGCTTCCAAGTAATGACAAAGTAAGACCTAGTTTATTTTATGGGGACTGAGAAAGTCACAGCACAGGGTGGTCTTAAGTTTCAGAAAAAAGTTTAGCTTTTGTTAACAAAGATTTTTCCAGTCCTGAAAGTCACACTTCTGTGTATAAACAAAAGTTTTAAGAGTCATATGTTTTCAATGGGCTCCTCGGGAACTCCTCGGGAAGCACCGCTAGACATTTGCCTTTCAGCCGTGGTAACTGAATAGGTTAGACCTGTGATAAAACTCATCAGCTTTGGAAGTCAGGTCTTTCTGCCAAAGTTTTCCCTAGATTGAACTTTTATGGGTTTTTAAAGTTACCAATTGCTGAAAAACGGAGTTCCACAAACTTTGCTGCTTTCTGATTAATTTCTCACTTCAAACACATGAGGACTGACTTTCTACATTCCAATATGTATTTCCCTAGGCATAACTGGCTGAAAGGAATTAAACTCAACTAGTATTTTTTCTTTCTTTTTGTCTTGAAACAGTCCCAAGACTTTGTGAAATATGAACTCAGGCTATATTTATGGTCAAAATAAAAAGATTTAAATATATATTAAGTTGTGGAGTCATATAATGATACAGCATACATCTATTAAATTTGATATATTTGGGTTTATTTGAATTAAAATAATTACTAAGTTAAATATAATACTTAGTTATGATCAGTGTGCTAATTGCATTCCTTATTTACTCCCCATGAAATATTGTAATAAATAGGGAATAAAATAATAGACAAATACTTCCTTTTTAAAAGATAAAAATATAGATTTCAACTTCGATTGATGATTATTGCATTTAACATTTCTTTTCAAGTAAATTCATAATTATAAATAAATTGCGCCATTTATTTGTAAACAATATTTTATTGTATTTCCTAGTAAGTTTTTAAAAATGTAATAAAATACATTTAGTTAATCACTTCTCACAAGAGTGCTTTCAGTATGACCTTTCACTTAGGGTAAGTATCTCTTTTTGTCAGAGCTCAGTCGGGGAGAAAAAAGCACACAGTATTTTAAATAGGGAAAGTTTAATGTAACATATTATTAGCTATGTCAGGGATTTGTGTAATGTGGGACTGGCTAGTAAGAAGTGAAGAGAACGCTAAAGAATACATGAATAGGAGATATAAGAAGTAATCACTACTCTAAAGCCTGAGAGAAGAACCCAGCGAAGAGTTCCCATTCTCCCAAGGCTGGAATCCAGGTCATGGTGGAGAGGACACAGACAGGGCTCTCTAGATGAAAAAGAGTGATGCCACACTCATGGAATGTGCTAGATATCTACCTTTAGCATGCTGGGGGAAGGTTTTCACAAGAAAGTTCTCATCAGAAATACTCTGAAATACGGCCTCAGGGTTGTGCCAGGGAAAGCTGCTGGGCACTCCACAGCGTAGGAGCCTGGTGCTGGGGGACTGCCTGTGTGCGAGAACCTGCCTAGGGAGGATATGCCGACCAGGAAGTAAAACTCCTTTCCTCCTGTCAGGTCTCTCCAGCACCTTCTATTGAGAGAGCTTCAGTGCCAGTTGGCAAAGAGAAAATAAATTTAAAGAGACCAGATCCATGAACACAGACCAAGCAAGAAAGAATGAAGATGGAGCAAACAGGTAATAAATCAATAACTGGCACAGTATTGGATTTTTATAAAATTACTACATTTATATCAACTATACATCAATAAAAAATGACTAAATACATTGTATTTTATTATTGGTTATAGCCATGTCAAATATTGCTTTTAATGAAAGAATTCTTACATATTACGGTAGATCTATTTACAGGAACAGATTTTATTTTAAACAACTCTTGGAAATCAACATTCATGTAAGACAGTAAGTAGTTAAGAGAACTGATTCAGCAATCAGGTAAAACTGCTTAGTTCCTAGCTCTATTCCTTGGCAACTGTGACCTTGGGCAAGGCATTTCCCCTCTGTGTGCCTATATGCTCATCTGTAAAGTAGGACTGAGATTGAATATACCTCAGATTGGTTGTTGAGAATGTTAAATGAAGAAAATGTACATATAGCACATAGATATGCGATTGTCACAGGAAAAATCTCAAAATAGCTACTGTTTTTTACTAAGATTTTTTATTTATCAAACTGGGAGTTAAAATTTTTTAAATAATTTAATATAAACAGTTTATTCTCCAAGTAAAATCTTTTGAGACTCCAAGTGTTTAGAAATTCATGAGGTCATGGTCTGTTCTTTAGTTTGTGCACACAATTTTGATTGATAGCCATTATGGATGTAAGTGGGGGCAAAGCATGGCTTTCTTAATTTCAGTGCAGCTTAATCAGAATTCAGAATAAATATGCTACAAAATAAATGCATCTTTTAGGTAAGTGTCAGATGTAATCATACTGCTACATGCTGTCAATATACTTCCTAGGAGAGGCAGCATAGGAAGATCCTGAATTACCTCTTCCCACAGACACAACAAATATTCAAGTACACATGGGACAGTTCCTTCTGAAAAGAACCTGAGAACTACCTGAACACCTGCTCCACAACAAAGGATAAATGGACCACACTGAGACAGGTAGGAGAGGCAGAGACACACTCTTGCCAAAAACTCCACCCCTGGCACAGTGACCCACAACTGAGAGGCATCTAAGAAATATGTGTGTGTGTGTGTGTGTGTGTGTGTGTGTGTGTGTGTGTGTGTATGGTATATGCTCCCTAGGGAGCAAGAGGTTTGTACCCTACACCAGGTGCCCGCAAACCTTGGGTCTTCACTAGAGAGACATACCTCCAAAACATCTGGTTTTAAAAACAAAGGGGATTCTATTCAGAAGAAATAGGGCTGTAGGAAACAAAGAATCAGCTCTTACAAGTTCATGTTGAGACCCGTCCACCCAGGACCCAGCACAAAAGCAGCAGTTTGAAAGAGCCTAGAACATCACTGAGGGAGATTCACTTGTTCAACGTGAAGCATATGCCAGATGGGCCTAAGTTGGCTAGGACTCCCCCTGGGAGTGGAAAGCTGGCAGACGCTGTTTTTATGGGCTTCCTCTACCTGGCCAGCACCACTTGCTGTATGCACCGTTTTTACACCGGCACTCTAACCACCTAACGGGGCAGACAAGCAGCAATTCCCTGACCCCGGCACACCACCAGAATGACAGCACCATTTTTCCATTTGGAAATGGAAAATTTTTCAGATGTATGTTTTATAGAAAAGCTGCATTCCCTTTTGAAGCTAGAATTTACATTATCCCTATGTTTTAGTATTTTTTTGTACTGATAATGATGATGTCAGACTTGAGTGTTCAGAGCACATTAATCCAAATGGCCTATATAAGAAATGCTAAAATTGGATGACAGTATTTGGCCAACCTCTCAGGATCACCCACAAAACTGGAAGAAAAATGATTTGTTTTAAGGCCAGTTTTAGCACAGCATCTAAAAGAAATACAAATATAACTACATAAAACTTAAGAAATATGTAGGTATTTATTGCAAATCTCCCAATGAGGTGGCAAAGAGGAAATTGCGTTGTGTCACACAGAGCAAAACTTCTTAAAAATCCTCTTTCACTTTACCCTAATTGCTTTCTCACTTCTCATAGGAGGGGTCATTTTCTCGCCTCTTAGGTTTTAGTTTCATAGCTAAAATAGCACTTTAGTATCTGCCTCCATTCTGCACACTCAACCTAAATACCTTGGTCTTGCCACCTCTTTGTGAAGAAAGGCCAACCCAGAGAAGGATCAGAGGAAAAGGAATGAGAGTTGACATTAACTCATAGAGAACTTGCAGAAGAAGAGGATTCATTCAAAAGGGCTACATTTAAGGGAGCTCTACATTTTATCCCCTTTTAAACTCTGCCCACTGCAAGTGTAACCACTGTAAGACCTGGGAATTTGACCAATTACACCAATTCTGCTCCTCCCTGAGAGAGAACTGGAGATAAAAGTTGGAGATAGAGAGAAATGTTAATTTACCCTTAAAGTCCAAGAGTTATGAAAACATAGTACCAACTAAAATGGAACACTCAAACTGTAGAAATAATTCTGTCTTCTAATTAGGCATTTTAACTTTAGATTTTTGTAGACCATGATATAAATGAGGACTTTGGATTCTGAGGAGTTTGGTTTCCATTTACAAATTGAAAATATAATTATAAAAACTTAAGGGAGGGCCATCATACTTAGAAATCTATTTTCATTCCAGAAGGACAGCAGTGGCAGTTTACAGTGTGTGTACCTTTGAGCTGTATCCTTGGACATGTGTGAATCCCTAAATTTTCAAGTAACCTTATAACCCATACTTTATCCTCTCCCCCCAATGCAGTAATGTGTAACTTAAAAAGATGTGACGCCTTTAAACTATTCATGATTCTATCAATACAGGATTAAAGCCACTCACAAAGCTATTACATAAAATCTGCCACAAAAATAAACTCTATATGACACTATAGGCATATTGTTTTGGGAATATTAACCTTAAACTTATCTGACAATGGTGATATTTTAATGAGAACTTCTTTTTTATGATACAGAGTGCATAAAGCACTTTGGAAGGGTATCAGAAGGGAGGTAGCTTGGGAAATGATAGCTTATTAAGGAATATTATTAGTGGCAGATATTTTGTCCTTTGCAATTATATTTGCCTTTCCTAGAATATACTTATCAGTTATGAATAATAAATTTATGTGTTTTAAATTTTGCATTTGCATATTGGAAGGCCTCAAAAGATAAAAAATAGCTTGTTCTAATTCCTTAATATTGTAATTGTGGCCACTTTGAAACCAACTCCCTGGTTTTCTGCACATTTAACCAATCTTCTTCATGATCTACAATGGTGTCCACAAAATCTTCACCACACATTTTCCATGCAACTCTCATAATGAACATCAGACTATCATCTGTGGATGGAGCCCTGCTTCCAACCATATGGCCTTCTAAAAATTTCACTTTGCAGATTTCACCTCACCCACTAGTGACTTAATGTTTATCAGTCATTTAGCAATGTGATCATAAAAGAATCTTTTCATTCTTCAAAACACTGGCATCAGTGCCTAGATTTTTTTTATTAAGGTATTATCGATATACACTCTTGTGAAGGTTTCACATGAAAAAACAATGTGGTTACTACATTCACCCATATTATCAAGTCCCCACCCATACCCCATTGCATGTCACTGTCCAGCACTGTAGTAAGATGCCACAGATTCATTATTTGCCTTCTCTGTGCTACACTGTCTTCCCCGTGACCCCTCACATCATGTATACTAAACATAATACACCTCAATTCCCTTATCCCTCCGTCCTCACCTGCCATCCCCCACCCCTCCCCTTTGGTAACCACTAGTCCCTTCTTGGAGTCTGTGAGTCTGCTGCTGTTTCGTTCCTTCAGTTTTGCTTTATTGTTATACTCCACAAATGAGGGAAATCATTTGGTACTTGTCTTTCTTTGCCTGGCTTATTTCACTGAGCATAATATCCTCCAGCTCCATCCATGTTGTTGCAAATGGTAGGATTTGTTTCTTTCTTATGGCTCAATAGTATTCCATTGTGTATATGTACCACCTCTTCTTTATCCATTAGTCTACTGATGGACACTTAGGTTGCTTCCATATCTTGGCTATTGTAAAAAGTGCTGCAATAAACATAGGGGTGCATATGTCTTTTTGAATCTGAGAAATTGTATTCTTTGGGCAAATTCCAAGGAGTGGGATTCCCGGGTCAAATAGTATTTATATTTTTAGTTTTTTTAGGAACCTCCATATTGCTTTCCACAATGGTTGAACTAGCTTACATTCCCACTAGCAGTGTAGGAGAGTTCTCCTTTCTCCACATCCTCACCAGCATTTGTTCTTAGTCTTTTCGATGATGGCCATCCTTACTGGTGTGAGGTGATATTTCATTGTGCTTTTAATTTGCATTTCCCTGATGATTAGTGATATGGAGCATCTTTTCATGTGTCTGTTGGCCATTTGATTTTCTTCTTTGGAGAATTGTCTCTTTATATCCTCTGCCATTTTTTAATTGGGTTATTTGCTTTTTGGGTTGAGGCATGTGAGTTCTTTATATATTTTGGATGTTAACCCCTTGTCAGATACGTCGTTTACAAATATATTCTCCCGTACTGTTAGATACCTTTTTGTTCTGTTGATGGTGTCCTCTGCTGTACAGAAGCTTTTTAGTTTGATGTAGTTCTATGTGTTCATTTTTGCTTTTGTTTCCCTTGCTCAAGGAGATATCAGTGCTTAGATGTTTTTCCATAGCGTTTATGTCATCATGCCTTAGTTTGGAAGACTAAGAGAGTCATGATATTAGAGGAAGGGAACGCAATATGAACTGAAACTCAGCCATGAAAATGGAAGAATTTGTACATATTTGGTTATTATTAGAATCTTAAATTCACAGTTATGGAAAGCAATACAATTTTATACTTTTGGACAGCATTTATTAAAGTAGCCTCAAAAGAGAGCTACTATGATCCACATTGTCATATATGTTTCCCAAGGAAATATGGAGTCTTGGTGCCCTGCATTTTGCAGAATGGTAAATAAGAATGGCTTAATTACCCTGTCAAGTGCACTGCCCTAAAGTCAAGTTCAGTCTGGATTTAGCCTCCTGAAAACTTGGGTTCTGTATCTCTTGAGTATTCTCACAAGGAAATTTCTGCCAACCAGCTTCATTTGGAGCTGAATATTATTTTAACTTTCTTTAGTGTTTTTTTTAGCTTGGAGGATAACATATTTATAAAGTTATGGTCTAACAATGTTGCCTTTCCAGTTTACATTATGTAAAAGTATATGGTCCTTCAAATTAAAAAAAGAAACCTTTTTGCATGGTAAGTTATTCCCATACCTGAATTAGTAATATGCCTCATGTAGCTTTAGAGATATATTTCTATAGGCTTCTTTCTTATTCCCAAATAAAATTTATATTGAAAGTCAAACATTTTCCAGATGTGTTATTATACTCTAACATCTTTACATTATTCACCTTTTTTGCACTTATAGTTTTGCACATGCTAAAGCACCTATTGAAGTAACTTCACAAATTCTCTTGCTTATTTCCAATAGAATATATGGTGGAATCATTCACATCATGAAGACATCAGCAAATTTGCTATTTGTGCTCATAATTTATCTGAAACTTATTACTTCATCTCTAATCCTAGCAGTATACTACAGCAAAAAAGAATTTAGTGAAATGTGTGTGTGTGGAGTAAGAAAACTCACTAACACTATCCTGAGCTCCTATCTCACTGAGGTATGTTTTCTCACTTCCACTTACTTCACTCAATACCATGCTGAGCAATGACTTCACTCCCATCACAACAACTAGGACTTGATTTCATTTTCAGGAACATTGGCCCAAGAAATAAACTTCATGATTTCAGAAGTTTCACTATTTATGGTCAAAATGAGAGAATAGTTGACTACATTGAAAAATAGATGGTTTCTAGGAGGTTAGACTGCAGTTAGTAAACCAACCCTGTGGTATTTTCAGTTGTAATTTGTGCCTAAGCCAAAATCAAGTTATTATAGATCAAGTCCTTTCACAATTGCATAAATTGTGAAAGCCA